GTGAACACGAATGGTAAGCTTCTTGACCTGGTTCTCGTCAGTGACTCCGATTGCATCGAGCTGTTTGAACCACCCTCTGCAATTATGAAAGTTGATAGTCACCACAAGCCGTTGATTCTAAAAGTTGACTCCCGTTCGAGAGATCATCCGCTCCCGTACCCAGCAGCCCGCAGTGAGTATAATTTTGCACAATGTGATTTCGATGTTGTTAACACGAGGATTGCCGCCTTGGATTGGGTACAAATACTTGACCAACCCACCATTGATGCCGCCGTCTCCGTATTCTACGACAACATCTATAAAGTAATCCAAGATAATGTTCCGGTGAAGACACGAAAATCTTTTTTGCAATTCCAACAACCTTGGCGTAATCTGTGTAACCGTCTGCGTAAAGTTCAAAACGTTACTTTCGTTCCCGGACCGCAGCAAACAAGTATACGGTGCAGCTAGTAGAAGCAGAGTATAAAAGTTTGCAGGAAGCTCGGAAATGGTAAGCAGGAAAATCCATCGTCGTTCTGGTCTTTTATCAACTCTCGGAAAATATCAGCTAGTATTCCCGTGGACGTCACCTACGGTAGTAGAAGCTCCACCACCGACACCGCTTATGCTGACCTTTTCACTGACTTTTTCTGAAGTGGTTTCGAACCCGATCAAACTCCTCCACCGCAGCAATACATTGATCAGCTACCAAGATACGACAGTCACCTGCAGCAGCTCATCTTCAGTCAAGACGCTATTCTATCGAAAGGTCCAGACCCGGACCGTATTCCACCGTCTTTCGACAACATCGTTGGCCACTCCCGTTATGTCTATTTTCAATCGATCGCTTAAGGATGGCGTTTTTCCGGATGCCTGGAAGCTCGCCAATCTTCACCAATCTTCAAGTCCGGTAACATGCACAAAGTGGAAAATTACCGACCTATCTCGATCCTGAACTGCTTGGCCAAATTTCTCGAAAGTCTTCTGCATGAGAAGTTGTATCCAGCTGTTCAACCCATAATCTCAGAGTTTCAGCATGGATTCATGAAAAAGCGCTCGACAGTCTCTAACCTGATGACTTACACGAACACTTTTATAGGTAGCATCGAGAAGCGTCAGCAAGTGGACTCCGTTTACATCGACTTCTCTAAGGCTTTTGACAAAGTCGCTCACGACCTAGCAATTATGAAGCTAAACCGCCTTGTTCTTCCACCGTGGATCGTTTGTTGGTTGAAATCATACTTATCTTCCAGGAAGGCTTTCGTTAAGGTACGTGATTCCAGATCCGAGGTATTCGGGGGTTCCACAAGGGAGTCACCTTGGACCTCTCATTTTCGTTCTGTTTATCAACGACGTGTGTGATAGCTAAGTTCCTGTAAGTTACTATATGCGGATGATCTTAAGCTGTACCGTGTGATCAAATCGATCGTGGATTGTTGCACACTACAAGCTGATATAGAGCGATTGTAATCCTGGTCTCAGATGAATGGAATGCAAGCCAATGCTGCCAAATGCAAAGTGATTACCATTACCCGCTCTCACTGTCCGACCATTTTTGATTACTCTATGAATCAATCGCCGCTGGAAAGGGTTAGTGCCATTAAGGATCTTGGGCTGATCTTGGACTGCAAACTACGGTTTAACGAGCACATATCCATGACAGTTGCAAAGACCAACTCCATGCTAGGATTTTTGCACCGCAATACTGCACAATTCGATGACGTGTACGCCCTGAAAGCGCTGTACTGCTCTGTGGTCCGCAGTGTTCTTGAATATGGAGTACAAATTTGGACTCCATATCATGCTGTTCATGTACTGCCCAACGAGAGAATCCAGAAACGAAAGTTTGCATTACGACGTCTGCCATGGACAAATCAAGATAGCTTACCTCCGTACGAGCATAGATGTGCGCTTATTGGACTACAAACAATAACAAATCGCCGAGTCTTTCTCCAGAGGATGTTCATATTTGACATGATTAGTAATCATATTGAGTGCAGTTGTTTGCTCGGGAACATCAATTTCCACACTCCAGCTCGCCGTCTCCGCAACTATTACTTTCTGTGGACTCCCGAACATCGTACTGCTTACGGTTATAATAATCCTCTCGATAGATGTTGCAGACTGTTTAATGATGTGTGTGATGTTTTTGATTTTAATATAAGTAGACCAGTTTTTAAGAATAAGATTAAGTCACAGTCTGTATGGCTAAAATGTCAAAGATGGTGATTAAAAAATAAAATATATACGCATGCTCCATAAGCAGGCATAGAAGCATCAGCGAAACCATGGAACTCATAGCACATTGCTCCGTCAGTTAGCAAACGCCCTGGAATGCAGACCTAATTCGTTATTGCGAGTGCTTTCTTGATCTGCAACCACTGTACACTTATTGCGTCTTCAACTGGTTCGTCCCAATCTACCTTGCTTCGCCACAACTGCTGCATGAGCAACTTAACAAGAACAATCACTGGCGATAAGAATCCAAGAGGATTGTACAACTAGGCAATCTGAGACAAAATAATTCTCTTCGTAAAATTTGGTGACTTAATTGAGAACAGTAATTCATCACTTTGAAGGTCCCACAAGATACCAAGCATCTTGATCACTGTGTTAATACCTTGCTCTTACAGGATCTTTTTTTTTCACGCTCACTTTCCGGAATGTGTTCCAGCAATTTCTCGGAGTTTGAGCATCACTTATGAATGGGATGCCCAGCACTAGCGAACACATCTTTCACCTGTTTATGTCGCTCGATAGCTGCTTCCAACGTATCATCTCCAGACAAAACGTCATCCACAAAAAATCTTCTTTCACTGTGCACGCTCGTAAAGGATACTCCGACTTGCCATCTTCAGCCAACTGCACTAAGCAACGAGTTGCTGTACCCTATGTTACGGTGGTTAGTTCGTACAATTTCAACGGGTTTTTGGGACTCTCTCTCCAAAAAAATCTCTGGAGGCACAGATGAATCAAAGCAACTAGAATTTGTTTTTCGATGGCTTGGCATCGAAGACAACCCTACACTTTGTCGAGGAGCTATCAGGACGGATAACAGCATGGTGTGGTAGGTAGCACATTGGAATATTGGGTGGATCTCTGCTGTTATCGATCTGTTTGCAGTGACCCAGGCGTTCGTATTCTCTGATGAACTGCACGTACTGCTCACGTAGGCACGGATCTCAACCCAAATGCTGTTCGAGCAATAGAGTCACTTCAAAGCTAGCGATCGACAGTCCAGAAATGCTGGACAGCATCATACTCGTCATCGACAGTGATCGTGTGGGAATAGGATGCACTTTGGTTACACGTTTCTTCGTATTCTCCCGTGAACACCCAACCAAAATGCGTGTCTCGCAACTATGGAAGATGTTTATCCAGTCGGTACTGGCCGGCCTTGAGTAGCTGGAAGAAAACAGACCGTTGCTAATCAGCATATCGAGTTCTCGAGGAGTATTGAAATCGGGATCTGTTAGCTGGAATCCGGGATAAATACATAAATCACTCACATCGATCTTGGTGTTCGGAGTTGCACCAGTTACTGAAGGAGTAACAATGCACTCTACCGCTACTCGATAGTCACTGCAACGCGAATTGATTTTCACGACGGTTTTCTCCAGACTGTTAGTGATTCGGTTATTCACGCCAGAAATCTTCACATTTGCTAGTGAAATATTCGCTGCGATAGTATCGGCCATGTTCTTCGTGATGAGATTCACTTGGGACCCACAATCAAGGAGGATTCGACAAAGATGAGGCTGAACGATCGAAGATGTTTACCACTGCTGTTAGCAGGAGAACGTTCTTCTTGGTTGGTGCGGCTTGAATTGAGCAGGTTGAACTAACGGCATTTGTTGAAGCACTGGATGGGCCAGCTTGAGCTTCGGAATTGGCCGGCTTCGGTGTAGGAACCGAAAAGCCAGACGCTGCAACTTTCAAACTTTCGGCATGGTCTGGTTTCGTCCTGGTATCATCATGGAGTTGAGTATGGTGACGTTGACGACATTTCAAACACTTTCTGTCTGACGGACAGTCACGCAGTTGATGACCTTTCCTCAGACAATTGAAGCACATGCCCAAGGATCGTGCTTTCTTCACACGTTGGGGCACACTCATACTTTTCAGGAACTCGCACTGGAAATTCTTATGGGATTCCACTGTTGGTTGAAACGGCTAAGATTTTCGGGTTGAACTTCGGCTGTACTGTAGCCTTCGTTGCTGCACACGATGGGATGCAGATTGATTGGATGCTTCACAGTTCTCCAGTATGTCACATTCCTGCTTCAGGAATGCTATCATAGCTTCGTACTTAGGCAGCTTTCCTCACACGATGGTCGCTTCCCACTGCTTCCTAGTGACCGTATCCAATGCTGATGCTAGCAAGTGGATGACGATGAGCTCCGACATACCAAGAAGATCTTGCTCCAAGCAAGGTTGCAAAGACTCATTTCAGCTAAAACAATGTTTTTCTAAATTATGAAATAATTAGATGCCATGATCAAATTTTGAATTGGTAGGATACAAGAAGAGGTTGCAAAGAATGTGTTTGACATATTAAACCTGTTTATTTCACTTCATGAGAGTCACAATCAGCGATTTTTCACAAACTCACTCACTCACTCACTCACTCACTCAGCGATCAGCAAATCGCTGATTGTGACTCATAGAAAGCAAAATTTACAGGTTTTATGTTTCCAACGCATACTTTGTAACCTCTTCTTGTAAGTTACAAGTAAAACATGCCATCATACCATCTTTTGGTTTTATTATTCCGAAAAACATTATTTTAGCTGAAATGAGTCTTTGCAACCTTGGCTCCAAGTAGCGAAGACTTTCGATATGCCAAGCGCATGCATCAACTGAGCTGACGTAGCTCACGGTAGGATTCTTTTGTCATTTTCTTCAACGACAGCAAACCACGGATGTGGGTGTTGATGATGACGCGAGGGTTTCCGAAACGCTCTGTGAGAATCGTCCATGCGTGCTCATAGTCTTTGCGTCAAGGATTCCTGCTGCTGCACCAACGAGAGCTTCATCCAAACGGTACAGCTTGATGGAGTTCGTATCGTTCGACTTGGCCTTGATGTCAAGGAACATCGCTTCAAACTTTGGCCAATTTTCATACTGACCGTCGAAGGTTGATATCGGTGCTTTCAGCGGCTGCTGCTGCACGATCACTTGTTGGTTCATTTGCAGGTCCGTTGGTCGGTTCTCCTTCTTCGCGGCGTCCATGAGCATCTCCTCCACATACGCTGACACTTCGTAATACACTTTCTCGTAGACAGCATACGCCTCGTCATGCTCATCCAATTCATCATTTCAGCCAGCTTATTGTGGAACTCATTGAACTTCGAGTACGCGGCATCGACATTCTTCATTGATGAGCAGGTAACCAGGCAAAGGAAGACAGAAACACATGTTCAAACCTCGCATTACAATTTACATAAAAATCATAAAAACACTTTCTTGAGCAATTTTCTTTTCGGGTGGAGGTAACGAACAAGCGTTGAGGTAAAATGGGAATCCACTTTGAAGGTTGATAAAAATAATTTAGATTATTATTTTGTAGGGCAGTAAATTACATTTGAAAATGGTCTCATATTTCCACAAGTCGATGCCTCCTTTGACCGATGTTCTATTTAGGGCTATTTGGATTCTATAACTTCATAATTCAGAGACAGAGCATGAGCATGAGCATGATTGACCGCCCACGGTTGCTACACTGTTATTGCCAGACCAGCTGTAATTACACAGAGAACCAATAGACGATGCTTGGGACTAGCAATCATCCTCAATGTGTAAGAACTGGTGATCTCAAACTAGGCAATATCAGCGCCGGCCGCGCCTGAACACAGGTCAAGAAAGGAAGGGGTAGGAATGTGTTGACGTGACACTCGCTTTGATGGAAGCCGAGAACACCCCTGCACTTAAACGAGGAATCTCTGGGATATTGGGTAATAGGGTTGGGTTTGCAGCAGGGTTCGTTTTGGTAAACGATAAGCTGAATTGATGTCCTAACCATCATAAAACGCGTGGGGGGCGACCCCGGCGTAGTGGTTAACATCCATACCTCTCACGCCAAAGTCACGAGTTCAAATCTCACCCCCGGACAAGTCACGAATGACCCAAGAGTGTTAAAGTGACTATAATAAAAAAAAAAAAAAAAAAATCATAAAACGCGAAGGAGCTTGGGATTGAACCCACAGTCTTCTGCTCAGTAAACAAAAACGTTTGCCACTAGACTGACGAGCTCCTTTTTAATAATTGACGAATCTTGAATGTGGATGGGCTTGAGATTAGACTCATGATGTTCTGCTCAGTAAGCAAAAACGGTTGCTCTAAGGCCACCGAGCCCCTCATATCACATTATAGCGTTACTCAAGTTTTTATAACTATTCAAACCTGTACCTGTAATGTACTACTGACTACCTACATAACAAACATCCCTAACGACAAACACCATACCATACCATATAGAGATTTCAGCACCTGAAAATTCGCCTCTTACCATCAAGTTATAGAAATATCGAGTTGTAGTATAAGAATCCCATACAAAATCGTTTTCGCAGTAGCCAAGAATTTAAAAATTTTACTATTGTCCTATATAACCCTATATACACACAGAGTTTAGATTACCGAAGTCGATAAAATTTTACTGGGTTTTTAAACAGCTGAGTTTTCAGCAATCAAATTCAGTAGTTTTTGGGCTTAACTGAAAACTCGGTAAATGGAAAAATCCCTGAATGCATTTTGTTTTAACTGCAACTGTAAAGTTGTCCGCGTAGCTGGTTGGCTATAGGACGAATTAAAGGACTTCTACCGTTGAACACCGATTAGTGTAATTGCATTGAAATTGTATAGAGAAACGTGGAACTGAATAGTGATATTTAGAGGTGGAATTTAATCAGTCCATTTTGTTTGCGGTTTTGTGAGACCTGCATGTAGACAAATTACTATAATAGAGGATTGATCGAGAAAATTTGTGAAATTTTATTTTACCACTACCCAACTGGGCATGGGTTACATGTTGTATGGCTGATGAACTGTCTGTCCAAGGTATGCCAAATTTAAAGAACTGTTGAGCGACGAAAACGAACATACATCAGCAATGTAAGGCGCCGATTGGTGCAATTGAATGTAATACAAGCAGTTTTCTTGTTTAGGGTAAGCGAGCTGAGCTGTTTGGTGGCACGGTGGGTGAGAAGAGTGTTTTTTTAGGAAAAAAATAAATAGTTAAAATTTAACGAAACGGTATGTGAATGACTGCATGACATTAATGTGCAAGGGCGCCATTTTTAAATGGTAGCTTCAATTTAATAATAAAAACACAAAGAGTGAGATAAACATTGAGAGTGGAATTGCTTTTATACTGCTGAATACATCTACATTGAAATAATCACTATTATAATTTAACAAGGTTTGGAGAAAACTGTATTAACCCGTAAATAAGAGTGTGTTTTCTCTTATTTCTTTTGTTTAGGTCGACTTTTCAGAAATTTCTCTGCAGTTTGATGGCTGGTCATATTAACTAAACAATGAAGGAAGCAATGGCTATCTGTGCTCCCAATCGAAGAAATTCCTGCACGATGAAAATCGATGATGTGTGCTGAACGTATCACGAACGGAAACTTCCGCATTTTGGGTCATCGCGGTTTATAACGGATGTAAGGTGAAAGCACATAAGAAAACATCCGGTTGCCGAGACCTAGATCGAGTTTATTGGTGGGCGATAAGGTTGTCGATACAAGGTGAAAAGTGTTTTTGTGAATACCAACAGACAAAAGAAGATCGAAGATTTTTACAATACGAGAAAGCGTTGCTATTAAGTAAAAACTATCAGAATTTTGATAAAGCTATCGCTGAAGTTAGTGTGCTCGAAAAAGCCAACTAGATCGAACTAAACCAAAGGGTAACTTAAACTTAAGCTCTAAATTAATTGATGTGTTTTAGCTTAGATTGTTTTAAAATGTTGATAATTGTCAAACCAGCAAAAAATTGAGAAATTTGTTTACCGTTTTGTAAACTTCTGAAGGGGGGAAAACTATAGTGTATGCCCCTCTTAACAGGGAAGCTATTATTGTAGCGATCAAATAGGTACATTGTACGTATGTGTAAAAAGCAAGCACGTTAATAAACGATGCGAGCAGGGTCTCGCTCTCTTAGTGCATACTGCATAGTCTGCAGAACAGACAACAAGTGTTTCTGTAAATCGTATTCATCCTGGAAACCAGATTAACAATACCTTGGTTAGACCGTTTTAGAATCTTCGTTATCATACATAAAAATCTGGAAGTCGATGTCGGAGTGCAGAAACTGCCGGATTTCTTGAATGATTCTGCACTCCTGCGTTGACTTCCAGTCATTTAACTTATTTTCAAAAACATGTTGCTGTTTTCACACATAAATTTCTGAAGTCAAGTGCGCGAGGTGGAACAAAGGAGAATGACGTAAAGGAGTCCAATTTACTAGTGTGACCAGTAATTTTGGAATTTCGTATGATGAATGTTTCAGTAAAACATAATTAGTACTGAAAACTCGGTGTTGTATTTAACTGAGTTTTGGTCATTTCCCGTAAAACTGTTATTTTACGGTTAATTCAGTAATTACTATTACCGCATTCAGTAGTTTCTTGCAAAAACTAATGAACTTCAGTAATGTTAATGAGAACAGCTGAATGTTCGGTAGTTTTTCCTTAAATTATAATCCTGCTAACCACACATAACGTCGAATGTATTTTCTGACCATAACAGAACTCGAGGAAGCTAACAGATGTGTCGTTCAAATAGCACAAAATGAAATTTTTCGAGAAGTCTTCGCTTTGCTGACCAATAGTAGAGAGGTCAAATCGTCCTCCAAGTCGAAGGCGCTAACGCAATTGGTTGAACAAGACTTCCTGTGAGTAGGTAGGTGGCCGGCTGCACTACGCTACAGTTTCTACAGACCGAAAACATCTCATGATTCAGCCTTCAGAGCACCCGTTATCAGAACTGATCGCTGGATACTGCCACCAGAAAATGCTACATTCTAGACTGCAGTTACTTTTGGCAAGCATCAGGGAAAAATTCTGACCTTTGCGTGTTCGAAATCTTGCGTTGATTTGTGTGGTCCTATCTGCTTTCGCTATCCTCAACGTAAATCGCAACACGTTGCGGTATTCGTTTGCGTTTCGATAAAGGCAGTTCATATGGAGCTCGATGGCGATCTCCGAACGGGATTGTTTCTCGCTTAGGCGCTTCATCACACGTCGAGGCAAACCATAGCTCATCGAGTGCGACAACGCTCAGAATTTTCGAGATGCTTCCTCGGGAAGTGGCAGAACCTGCCAAGTTTTAAGACCAGCAGCTGCAGAAAGCCGTCACTCGTTCGTGTGCCTAAGATGGCATAGACTTCAAATTTATCCCTCCTCGTTCCCCGAACATTGGGTGGCCAATGGGAAGCAGCCATCAAATCGTTCTAGACCCACCTCCTCAAAGCCACCCTCAGAAATTCGAACCTGACGGTCGAAGAGGTGACGACACTTCTTGTTCAAATCGAGAGCTGCATGAATTCTCGGCCTCTAACTCAATTATCGATGGACCCTGAAGATGGTACTTCTTAATATATTGTTCGCTCATAGCCATTGCGGAACGTTTGCTAGAAGAGCTACCTCTTAACCGGTTATATCGTTGTCAGGAAGTTCACCTTTGTCGGCTCTGGAAGCGAGGACCACGGAGTACCTGTCTGGACTGCAGCCAAGGATGAAGTGGACATACGAAAAGAATAACATCGTTATCGGAACATTAGTTCTTACGAAAGACGACGAACACCCATCTCTCAAATGGCGTTCTGACGGAATGACTCACATCGGAAACATCCGTGTCGTCGTAGTGAAGACCAAGGCAGGCGCGCAATCTCCAAAATTTCCGTGCTGCCTACGGACCAGTCATCGCCACTCGCAACCACAACAAGCGAAGCCGCCAGTGATCTATGATGTACTTCGTCTCTTCCATCATAGTGTTCGCACTGCGCACCGACTGGGGGCCCGCGGACCTCCGTACCCTGTAAGTACGTTTGGTAAATGAATTTTCAAAAACATAAGAAATTTTTGTCTCCTACCATGGCTGGCTAACGAACCAGTGCTCGGTCGCACAAGCACAATCACTTTTTACCTGTGCACCTACTTTCAAACCCACATTGCCATATTCATACTCGAATATGTTGAAAAAATCACTAATTTATTCAATATCTATCCTATTCGA